GAATTAGAATAGATTGAGGAAATATCGGGCGTCGTGCTCGGAATAAGAGTAGCTCGTAGACGTCCGTGGAAAGAGTAGTTGCTTGGGTTTCGCTGTACATCAGAACGAGTGGGATTACTTGAACGGGTCAATGAAGCAGCCAATTAGGTGTTGATGTCTGGGAAGCCGGCTAGGGATTATTTGATGCCAGGCAGAAGTAAAAGTGAGTAGACGAGCTTCTCAGCCATTCAGTTTTACACTTCTCATGCCTCCCGAAACAACCGACGTGTAACGGCATGATCTCTGATGGGGAGAGAACAAGCAAAACACCAAGCGCCCCTCTCAACGGAGGCAAAAAAGACGGCATTTGTTGTGGCAAGTGTTGGCCCCCAATAAACTTCTACTGAGAATTTATATCGATGGTAAAACGTGGATTGGTGAGAGATAATGGCGAGGGACAAGTGTGAGATTCGATCCAGAGGTTCCTCCAAAGAAAAATAATCAACTTTCATACAAGATCAGTGCTTTACCATCAAACCTTTATGTTAATATATCACATAATGGGTAGAAACTGATAGACCGGTGCAAAACAAATGTGAAATATTCAAGTGATCATGCAAACAACTGGAATGCAAAAATAATAAGAAACTCTAGTTTGTTATAAGATAGTAGATGAGAGCGAAGACGGCTGCGAACATAGCCGGATAGATATACTTGTCAAACGATGCCCAAGGATTTGGTTCCCTGGAAAAATTTAAGTTGAAATGGGAAACTGGACCTCGAAACTCGCCGATCTGGCCGAAACCCGAATGCCTAGTCACATGTGGTATAGGATGGATCAGCAGCTATTAGCTCCGCTAGAGAAAAAGCTACATTCTCATGAAAACGAGGAAGTTGATAAAAAAAATAACCCCAGTTTTGAGCTATGTGGCCTGAGAGAATGCCGTTTTCTCCTAGGAACTCCTTTGCAATTTTCCTTTCCCTGGTTAGAATATCCCGACACTTTGGAGTCCAACTTTTTGAGAAGTCCTTGCGTAATTTCAAATCTTACGTAGTCTGAATTGATTCCTTACCTTTGCTTATTATCTGAGGGGCTTGAGACCCATTCTTTCTTGTCATAGGAATACTTCTGCTTCTCTTCCTAGAATAGAAATAGTAATCGGAGCATAGCAATTGAACTGTATCACAATTCTGTTCCAATGTCCGGGGTTCTCCCACTTGGGAAAAGAGAGGTACTGAAGCATTTTTTCTCCACGGTAAATACTATTACTTTTCGTCCACTCCTCGAGGAGATATAGTGGGTACCAAAATACTTCCCTTTAGCTTTTAAATTTTACCTACCAATTTTTATTCATTCGTTTGTTGAGCAGAAATGATTTTAAGTAAAAGTGGGAAATGAGATGAAGGGAAGGCAAGTAACAGTAAACCTTCAGATGAGGTAGGCAATCAAAAGACTAAAATACTGGATTTAGGTAGTTCCGAGCACAGGGAAAGCCCGAATGAATTACTGTGGGAAGAAGAGCAATGACGTTTCAATAAAGCCGTCAAGGGAAACCAAGTAGTTGAATACTCACAGGTTTCCAACACACTACATTTTATGTAGAATTTAATACAAGACCAACCTCAACGATTTCTCCCACAAGATATTGTTCCCTCATTTCACGGGCATCCGTGGAATGGCCAACGTCCTCAAAAGCTTCGGTAGCATCCCGACCAGCCACCTCTAGCAGCACCTCGCAGCCACCGGGATGCTAAATAGCTCAACTTAAATAAATAAATAAATAAATAAATAAATAAATAAATGACTTATACTGTGATTCACATGAGATCTGTTGCGCGAGATACCACACCCAGAAAGGAAAAATGGTACATTCTCGACTGAGCTTTTTGGTTTGCGCCAGGCAGACGGCTTTTCTTGAGAATGGTGCACGTTCGAATAAATTTCCGTCTACAGCCACTTGAAGTATTAGCTAAAGCCAAATCGGAAAAAACCAAGATTTTAATCCTCCTAACCGGTTTTGGCACCACTAAACCAAGAGCTTCACTACTTTTGGAGTGGTTTGATCGCGTATTTCGTCCCCGGACCTTGGAATTACTGTTCCTTTGCACCTATTATACCACATAGTAATCTTTTGTTTCGTTAGAAAACATATTTGGAAATTGTTATTGGACTCAAAAACCGATTATTTCATAGCGAACAAAAATTTTTTCTTAAGAATTCCCCTGGTAATGGTCACGATTTGGCCAACTATATTTCCAGAGAGGCTGTTATCCTTTGTGAAGTGCCTACCATTAACGCCGTTGAAGAGGAGTTCATCAAACCAGTTCCACACAATTTTGGAGGGAAAGAAGCCAACTAATGTCGTAAAAGTTAGACACAGTTGTGCTAAACAGCGAAATTTGAATATAAATTTGTCTTGAGATTGACTTTACGGTAACTCAGGCTCTCTCAAGTTGACGTGAGGTCAGTTCTCAAGAAAAAAAAATTCCAGTTAATCAATTTTTTTCGATGTGTCGAAATAAAAGGCCACTCTCTTCCGCCCCTCTACGACAACTTGAATCTCACACTAATCAGTTACGCCTACGGTGGGTAGCAGACTGCCATGACAGCAACGCCGTTCATGGTCTTTGACCATCAGGCTAGAGTGTATGAAACGAGAAGTCTATCGCAAAGTACAACATCACACTGGACACAAAACACAAAACGACAGCTCTGGGAAGAAAAACAGTTCATGACGATCTCCCTGAAACAATACCCAATGGAAATTCGAGAAAAGAAAGTGCATTTTTAGTTCATAAAAGATTTCCCTCTACATATTTTGTTGAACTAGACCGGAATGGTTTTTCAAGAAGCATTCAGTTCCATGGATCGAATTGAAGTGTTCTATGTCGTGAGTTTACCACCATCCACTTTGAGCAAACGTTAAGAGCCATTGAAATTTGAAAAATAAGCAGCAGAATAGAATAAAAGTTGACGGACACAAAAAGAACTTTTCCAATGTCCATTTGTCCCATCCAAAAATACATCTGAGCTAATGGATCACTTTTTAGGTAGTCCTGCGGGACCAAAATGTTCCCAGCAAAAAAAAGTGGTTCAAGGAAATGAGAAATGTCCGATCGGACTATTCTTCCGATGTAAAACCACAAACAACAATGTAAAATGGTTTAAATCGTTTTGTATAAAATCTGGGAACCGACATCTTCAGCCTACAAAGATGCCATCACCGTCAAGAGATCTAATCTCAGATGTTAACACGCCAACAGAAAGGTTTGCGTGTCAGAGAATTCCAGAAAAACATCAATATTCATAAATAAATAAACAAACCTCTTCAAGAAATTTGGTGACGTCATAGACCTTGTTGCCTAGAACGAACCACGTCGACTTGTTCGAATTATGGTCGGCAACTTCTTTTCTAGTAAGTTTAGTTACCATTTTACCTACAAAATATGGTAGGTAATGAGATCAGAATAAATATACTCAGAAAAACAACAGCAAGTAAATAAACTCCGAACAATCAAAATAATAACTCGTAGTGATGAAGATAACGTTGAATATTTCATAAGTTGGCAAGCCTATCACCACAAATTGACAGGACGAGGTGGCATGTAGACGAAATGGTAGGGTATAGCCTAAGAGATTTCAGGGTTGAAGGAAATCTCGTTGTTTACTTAGGGATGGAGAAGTGTATAGACAAGTAAACAATACTAATCTAGTAAAAGTAGCTAATCAATATTGAATGAGATCAATAATCAATAATCTCTGTACACTTGGAGCCCTGGAATTGTAAGGTAAAACTTGAAAAAATCGGAAAGATCGTTTCTGTAGTGAAGTGTTGACAGCATGACTAACATTCGAAGAAGTGAAGGAGGAAAGAAGAAAAAATGAAAGACCTAAAAAGGGTGTGCACCAAAGGGACCATGATCCGATTGATAATGCCGAATATACTAAATATCAATCGCCGGATCGTATGAATTGAGTTGAAAAAAGGCAACTCTCCTTAATGACTGAAAAAAAACCAGTTTTGTAGGAAAGCATTTACTATTTCAGCAAACTTCAAAAAAATCCAACTCATAACTTCTCAGAGAGATTGGGATCAATGTCCTCCTTAAGAAAGGGTGCGTTCTAGTCTTTAATGCTCGCTAGATTTTTAGATATCGTGACAGATACTATCTCACAAAGTATTCCCACGCAAAAATGTAGTCAAAGAATCAATATGCATATGAGATGCTTTGCAAGAAAGACCCTTGCTACTGACTGGTTACTCATTCCCGCGATGCGCCATGTATTCGAATTGTGCCCACATTGGTGACGTAATTCAAAGCTTGTATACAATAAACATTACCAAGCATGGGCATAAAATTAGTTTTTCAATTAGTAGCCCCGGTGGGCTCTTAGAAATATCCTCTACTGCTAGCCCCATACAATCCACGGGGCTAAACACAAGACTTCTAGAGCCTCCATTTGCAGAAATCAGCCGCACCATACATGTAGTAGCTGTCTTACGCCATGGTCTGACTAAACCCCGTTCCTCGAATGCTTCACATCCCATCCATGAGAACGGCACTAAAAAAANTACTATTTCAGCAAACTTCAAAAAAATCCAACTCATAAGTTCTCAAAGAGATTGGGATCAATGTCTTCTTGAAAATCGAGGGCGCTCTAATCTTTAATGCTCGCTAGATTTTTAGATATCGTGACAGA